TGCAAAGTACCTCCAATGAAAATCTAATATTTATTAAGTGCTGGCTCACTGATGTGGATTATAAGGTGAGCATCTCTGTCCTCAATAAACTTGCAGTCTAACAAGGTGTACAAGAAAGTTTCACAGTTAAGCACACTATTACATTGAAAGTGGTTTCTCTTTTAATTTAGTAATGATATATCCCTCAAATACTGAAATACAGGTTTTATATTTGGATATCAAATACTAACAGTCCTGAAAACCTTTTTTCTTCAGCAGTTCATCATTACTTTAAATATAATTTAGTCAAATTATTTTGTACATTTCTCTCATTGGCTCAAGTATGCACAGTTTTTGAATGATTGATGTTTGGAAATGTGAATGTAGTATTTACAATTTTTTCACCTTGTCTCAAAGTCTTCCTCTTTGTTGTTTTTATAATCCAACAGAGATAGAAAACAGACTGGCACTCTCAGGGGGCCTTTTTATCATAGTTGTGGCTTTTGTATTTTATTTCTGAGATTCAGCAGGCTTCTTCATATGGGTACTCATACCGCTTGTGTAAGTCTTTTTGTAAAGTAAGAAAAAGGTTCCCAGTAAGCAATCCAAAGGAACCCTGGTTGTACAGTGGTTAAGCCCTCGGCTGGTAAATGAAAGGTTAGCAGTTCGAACCCACCAGCTGCTCCGTGGGAGAAAGATGTGGTAGTCTGCTTCTATAAAGATTTACAGCCTTGGAAGCCCTATGGGGGCCTTTCTGCTCTTGAGTTGGAATCGACTGTACCACAACAGGTTACGTTAGGTTAAGCAACTCAAAAGCTTAAAAATAATAGCAATAATTAATATTTATATAGTGTTTCATGGTTATAAAATATTATGCATACCTTTTTAATCTTCACAATAACTCCATGAGGTAAATATGATAATTATCCCAATTTTCAGGTGAGAGTTGGGGCTGATTGAGATTATGACTTAAAGTCAGTAAGTAGTGGGTATGAAATTTACATGCAGGCCTTAGGGCTTCAAGTCTTAACGCTTTTTCCATTACTTAAGAGTCCAGGCTCAGGCACTAGATGCCTAAAGAACATTAAATCGTTAAACAATACATTTTTTATTACTTAAGCCTTGATTTAACTCTATAGTGGCATTAATCTTTTCATGGATTACATTCTAAACCAGTAATTATTGTTGAAAATTTTGATTATCGTAACCAAAGGATAAAGGTTAACATCACCAGCAGTAAGCCATGTTGATGTCATATGTCCCCTGATATGATATGATGAGAAAGACACATCACCTCTGTGATATTCTTCCCCAGATTCCATAACCTCAGTATAATAGTGAGAAAACATTAGACAAACCCAAACTGAGGGACATTCTACAAAGTTTCTAACCAGTATTCTCCAAAAGTGTCCAGATCACGAAAGACAAGAAAGACTGAGAATCTGTCACAGATGGGAAGACGTTAAGGAGACATAACAAATGTAATGTGGTATCCAGGATTGGATCCTGGAACAGATAAAGAACATTAGTGGAAAAATCCAAATAAAGTCTCCAGAGTTTAGTTAATAGTATTGTATCAATGTTAATTTCTTAGTTTTGATAGATGTACCATGGTTATGTAAGATAGTAACATTAGAGGAAGCTAGACAAAAGGTATATAGGAACATTCTGAACTATTTTTTAACTGTTATATAAACCTAAAATTAATTTAAATACATTTTAGTAAAATAACTCTACAAATAAGCTTGATTATCTTTACTTGAAAGAAAGATAAAATGGAAGTTAGTTTAAAAGAGTAATGGTAAAGTCAAAGAATGTGGAGATTCTAAAAAAAAAGACCTGTGTTTGAATTTGGCTGAGCTCCATGATTTATTGCAGTGGACCAACTATAAGAATGGATAGGTTAAAATTATTTTTGTTTTCTTCTAGGTTTGTGATAACTGAAATCCTTTCTCTTATGGAAGGAATTCTGGGGAAATGAAAAATGCATTATTTTTTCTCCTACTTCAGTATTTATTTTTCTCTCCTTCCTTTATCTGTAGTGGAAAATTACTTTGGATGCTGGGTATCCAACCATGAATAGTAGGTCATAGGGAAGAAACAATCTTTCAGAAACTGAATAAATTTAGCAATGTGGAGGGTGGGTTATAGGGAGGCTACAGGGTAAGTGGAAAGAGCACTGGTTCTGACGTGGCCTTGAATCCTAGGTCTGTCACTTTGTAGCACGACCTTGGGCAAATTCTTAACCTCTCAGAGCAGTTTCTTATTCTGTAAAGTAGTTGTAGTTGTTGTGAGGATTAAGTTAAGTGAGAAAAGATGTGTAAACTTCCTGGTAGTAGACAGCCAATGAAAAAATTACTCAAAATTAGTGGTTATCTGTTATGTGTTCGTTATATATTCAAAACTTTGCTATTATGAACTATGGTGAATATAAAACCCAAATGGGATGAAATGGTCCATAACCTCAAGAACTTTCAGTCTTTGGGGAGAGGTAGAACATATATAGATGAAATAATTTGAGAAAAAATTACAGAATTTACCAGACTACTAATTGTGTTGTAAAGATAGTAGAAGCATTGAGTGATTAGAAATGAGAAGAATCCATATTGGCTTTCATGAAAGTTTCATGAAAGAGGTGGTACCAAGAAAAGCATTTAGGGATTGGTATACAGAGTAATAACAACTAATATGTTTGGAGAGCTTTATGGTTTATGAAGTTTTCACAAGCATTATATCACTCAATATTCATAATTACTCTATGAAATTTGTGTTATTAGCTCATTTTAGAGATAAAGAAACTGAGACTCAGAGTTTTTTTTTTTGAGAGGCAGAGTTAGAACTCAAACCCAGGAATGCTGGCTATGAAATGTGTGCTAGTTTTGTAAAATATTTTGTTTTTCCATGTGTTTTCATAATTTTTTTCATTTATCACCTAAAATAGTCCTGCCAAAAGCTGAAGTCTGAGAGAGTAAGTGACTCGTCCAAGTTTCCATAGCTAATTGCTGGGGAAAAGCAGTACTTAACCCCATATGCCAGAATGTCTAGGGAATTCTTCCCATCTGTCTACATCACCATGATGTTTTAATTCCCAGATGCAGAGAACGGAGAAAGAAGGAAAGAGACATTTGATTTGAACAGGCTCTGAGACACATATACATGTCATCACAGAGACAAACCTCAACTTTTCAGAGCTGCACTGATCCTGGCTATGTATCTAGAGCAATTATTCACCTGTTTTGTGCTGATGGTGACATATATGAACGGGACAATTGAATTGCCACACTTAAGTTGTTGGCACTGTATTTCACCTCATGATGCACATTTGTGCCATATTTTGGAATTACTTCCTTAGGGATAACAAATAAGACTCTTAGATCTGTGTGAGTATGGATGGCTTCTATTCCTTATCTAATTCTGATCTAAATACAGATTTTCACGTAGGAGTTGTAGACCAGACTGTTTTCATTTAAAGAAAACACATAGAATAAACTTAGAGCTTTAGAAAACCATACTGCTCTTTGTATTCAGGGGATCTGAAGAATATTGAACTCAAATTTTCTGATTCTTTGTGAATACATTCTCAGTTTAAGAAGCCTAGGCCTTGATTCTATATACTTTCAGGTACTATCTGTTTTAGCTCTACAGCACGTTGGCAATTTTACTTCAAGTTTTCCGGCTTTCCAAGGCAAGTAAATGTCTATTACAGTTCAGAAGCTGATATTTCCCCAAATCAGGTTGAACAAATTCCACTGTCACCCTTCCTCCAGACCTGGTGACAATTATAAACTATTAGACTTCATTGTACATAGTCTGGCTGTCTTTGGCTTAGAGCCTATCTTAATTTCAGACCATTGGTTGAAACTAAGCTTTCGGTAGTTGGTGAATATTCTAATATGGTTTCTTCACCTATGAAAGCAATTTAAAGAAATAGACTGGCGATATTCAAAGCTGGGCTGTTTTTCCCCATTGCGAAGATGTTGTCTCTGCTCTAAAAAAAATATTGTGGCTGCAGCACTACAGAGGTTCTTTTCCTCATAACTACCAATTAAAGAAATGCTAATCCTCTTCTTGGGGTCGATTCTCACCTTTCTCAGCTTCTATGTTTCCCCATGTCTGCTGTGGGAGTGGTTACCTCTGTACTAGAGTCTGAGGATGCAGGTTATCAGGAGGCTTGGCATTGCGTCTGTGTGTGTCAGTGGGCTTTAACGGTGAGGCCGAGCGTAGGAGACTATGAAGTTGTATTCTGGTGAAATTTTCTACATTTATGAAATGCTGTTAGACGGTTTGTGAGAGCATGTTAACTTGGTCTGTAAGGCTTGATGTGTATGTGAGTGACTGTGTAGCAACTTGAGGCGCGGAAGCGGACTGCCACACGTTCCAGGGGGAGGCGGTAGTCGGAAGCTTTTGCTTAAATTCAAACAGGAATAACCTGTTGCGGGCCTTCAAGCTCCCGCAGTTGCAGGTTAGCGTCCCCGCCGCCTGCGCGCGGATACCCGCCCGGTAGTCGCGCGCCCGGCGCTTGACAGGAGGCCGGTCACGTGGCAGCCGCAAAGCGGCGCTTTGCGACCTCGATGACAGGCAAAATGTGCGACAGCCGTGGTGCTGGCCAACCAGGGGCGGAGGCGGTGGCTAGGGAGGAAGCGGAGGAGGCGGAGGCGGCCGCGGCGTTCGCCCGCCTGCTCGTTCGCTCGGTTTCCCCGCCTCCGCCGGTCTCGCCGCCGCTGAAGGGAGCCGGGTGCGCAGTGTCGCAACCTGCCCTCATCCTGGCCCGCGACGGTAAGACCTGACCCGCATCCAGACCACCCGGTCGGGGCGGCTGCAGCGCGGGCTCCTCGGGGCACAGGCGGGCGGCCGGGGCGGCTGAAGGTTACCGAGTGTATGAACGCCTAGCGTCTCCCG